CAGAAATTTTGTTAAAGGGGTTTTCTGAAGGTTTCAAACTAAATTACAATGGTCCGAGGGTAGCTACTAATTGTTCCCATTTAAAGTCAGCCAGAGATAATGAGCTTGAAATTCTGGAAAAAGTGTTTAAAGAAATTAATGCTGGAAGAGTTGCTGGCCCATTCCATTCAAGACCCTTTCCCAATCTTAGGCTTTCACCTGTAGGTTTAGTACAGAAAAAGGATGGCTCATTTAGGTTGATTCATCATTTATCTCATCCTGAAAACTCAAGTGTTAATTCATTTATTGATCCATCTTTCTCCTCAGTCAATTATTCCTCATTAGATGATGCTGTTAGGTTACTAAGTTTGTTGGGTAAAGGGGCCTTGAAGGGTAAAATGGACCTCAAGTCTACATTTAGGTTGCTTCCTGTTCACCCATCAGATTTCGAGCTTTTAGGTTTTAAAATAAATGACATGTTTTTCTACGACAAATGCCTGACTATGGGATGTTCAGTGTCTTGTAGTCTTTTTGAGGAATTTTTATCATGTTTGGAATGGATATTGAAGCAGCAGTCTGGACAGAAATCTGTGGTGCATTACTTAGATGACTATTTGTTTGCTGGTAGGGCAGGTAGCAACACATGTGATGAACTTCTGCCATTGTTTGTGGGGCTTTGCGAGCAGTTAAGTGTCCCCTTAGCTGATGATAAAGCAGTGTGGCCGCCTTCAACTTCCCTGACCTTTTTGGGTTTTGAGTTAGATTCAGTTGAAATGATGATAAGAATCCCAGTTGATAAGTTAAATAGTTTAAAGGATTTGATCAACAGTTTTATGTCAAGAAAGAAGGCTACTCTAAAGGAATTTCAGGGTCTTGCAGGTTTGTTGAACTTTTGTTTGCGTGCCATTCCGTCAGGCCGGGCTTTCACTAGGCGTATTTATGACATCATGCAAGGGGTCTGTAAACCACATCACTTTATCAGGGTTTGTTTGGCAGTTAAGGAGGACTTGGGTGTGTGACTTACATTTTTAGATTTGTTCCATGGCTGCTGTTACTTTCCACAAATCGACTGGGTAGATGATGATCAACTCCAATTATTTACTGACAGTGCAGGGAATTCAGAATTAGGTTGTGGTGCTTTCTTTAGGAATCACTTATTGTTTTTCAAGTGGCCAAGTGAATGGGCTGGTACTGAAGTACTCAGGGACATCACATTTCTTGAACTTGTTCCAATTGTTTTGGCAATTCATGCTTGGGGAAGTCAGTTATTCAGCAGGAAAATAGTTTTCCATGTGGACAATGAGGCCTTAGTAACAATTTTGAACAAAAAATCTTCTAGATCTAAGCGTGTTATGTGCTTAATTCGTCCCCTGGTACTTCATTCCATGTTAAACAATATACAGTTCAAGGCCTGTCAAATTTTAGGTGTTAATAACGAGGTTGCTGTTGCTCTATCTCGTTGTCAGTTTCAGCGTTTTCTGTCACTTGCACCTTAGGCGGACTTGGAGCCAACATCAATTCCAGAGTCCTTTAGAACCGTCATCTCCAGACTGAATTTGACAGATTAGTTCAGAGTTTAATTTCAACAAATACAAGACTTGCTTATCAGACAGGTTTAGTTGAATTTGATCGTTTCAGGTTATCTTGTGGGTTACATACAATTTGGCCTCCTGATGAAAAACAGATTATAGAATTTGTAGCTAGTTGTTCATTAAAGGATCTGTAGGAGACCCCACCCAAAACTTTGTTATCAAAAAGATGGCGGTAGACATGTCAAGATTGCAAAGTTCAGTAGGTGCTAGGTTGCCAATTACACCAGAATTGTTGGGGAAAATATTGAATGTACTCCCAATTGTTTGTAAATCATGCTATGAAACTACATCGTTTTCAGCGGTTTTTTCATGCTCATTTTTTGGCTTATATAGGGTTGGGGAGTTGGTGTTAGATATAGTAAGAAAAGCAGTAGTTCTCATGCCTTGGATGCTGCAAGCATCCATTTCTCTCGGGACAATTCAGATGTAAAAATTTATTTGTCTCATTCTAAAACTGACCAGTTTGGTAAATGAGTTGTTTTGGTTCTACCTGTAGTTGAGGGAAAGATATGTCCAGTCACGCTACTAAAACAATATTCAGTTCAACGTCCCGTGAGTAAAGGTCCTTTTTTCTGTCACTTCGACAAGTCACCATTAACACGTAATCAATTCAATGCCATTTTGAAAAAAGTCTTTGTCATGCATGGTAGACAATAATAAGTACAAGTCACCTTCCTTTAGGATATGTGATGCCACAACAGCTTCTATTAACGGTATGTCAGATGATCAAATTCAAGAATCGGGTCGTTGGGGATCAAAAGCTTACAAGAGATATATAAGAATACCAACTTCAAATTTGATTGATGGCTAAAGATTCGATTGGTTGTATTACTTCCAGCACCTCAAACAGAATAGCTTGATAGGTTTTCTAATACCAGTCTGGAAAATGTTATTTTAAATATATATTCATTTGTGTTTACATATATTTCAGAAGGTGTAAGAATATGGATTGTTGGATCGTCAATAATATGGCATGCTTTTTGTTATGCTAGACAAAATGGGGGGTCCAATCTTGGGTTATCCACATTAAAGGCTGATATCTGGTGGCAGGGAAAAGGTGGCATGAGATGGCGACATCTCCTCCCTAAAATCAAATTAATGTTAAGGTATGAAGATCCCCCACAATATCTGGTTCTACATTGTGGGGGAAACGACATTGGCCAAATTACATCATGTGCTTTGCGTTATAGCATAAATGATTCTTTAGATTTAATTATAGATCTGTTACCAAACACCAAAATTATTTGGTCTCAGATATTACCTAGATTGATTTGGCGCAATGCTAGGGACAACCATGCTCTTAATAAAGCAAGGGTTTGAGTTAACAGCTTTGTTGCAACGAAACTTCTGGCACATCAAGGGGGATATATCCGTTACCCAGATTTTACTTCGGTTGATCATACTTTGCTTAAAGAGGATGGGGTACACTTGTCAGAGCAAGGCAATAAGATATTTGTTGAAACTTTGAGGAAAGCTTTGCACAGTTTTATAATGTCAGGGGTGGGCGTTTTTCCTGCTTAAAATGGCCATGGCACTCTATTTCACTGACTAAATAATGTAAATCACACTTAAATAGTCACTGATGTAGCTAATGTGGTTGTTTTTTTACTCATTTGTCTTGGTATGCAATGTTTTATTTATGTGCTTTGCCTTTCTTTAGAACGGGGTGGGGGGATAGAGTGGGGGCAGTTTAGTCATAAGCGTTCAGCTATCCCATTGTGGCGGTGGACACTTAGTGTCCATTTGGCCCAATCTTTAGCTGAACTTAAATAGGGTTATATTTAGTGAGCATCTGTTCCCAGGGCTCGCTACATTACAACTGTACATAATTATTTTCAATATGTGTGAAATTTCAATTTGCTTATTGGTGTCAGACTGGATGAAACATTTGCAATGTATTATTTGCCAGTAAGTTGTTTAACGGATTCATTTGTATGTTTGCCTATTTCATATTCATTTCTATATTTGCCTATTTCTTATGTATTTTCATTTACATGTATTTGCCATTTTCCATTTGGGTTGCCAAAATCGCCCAATGTATTTGGGTCGGTAACCTTGGTTATGATTGTAACCAGTAACTAACTGTAATTGCTTATAACTGAAAATTGTCGTGCTGCTGTGGCCATTATTCGCCATTAAACTTTAAGAAATTTATATCTGTGTGGTTTTCTCTAACAAATGTAATTGTCACCCTACTTGAAAAAAAATATGCTTCACATTTTCATCAGTAATAGTTTGTGAAGGTTGAGCTTTCAAACATTATTTCTACTCTAATTTATTGAAATGGGAACCAGAAACCCAAAGCTTCAAATGCACAAAGTTTTTATTTGACATTAAAAGTGGATTTTTGTGAGATGATCTAATTCATTCTATACTTCATTTTAACAACGACTGAACTTACCAGTATTCGGTTTCATCCGACTTACATGTATCAAATACAGTGTATTTTCAATATTGCATAATTCTTACGCAAATCTGTACTTACATGTTACATCCATCGTAGCATTGAAATCTGCAAACGTTGTTAGTGTTGTCTGAAAATTTTGTATCAAATTGCAGTCAAGCACATATCCATCTGTGCTGTCGTCGATGCCAAATCTTTTCCTAGCTACATCTGACAACGTTGAAGGTATTGGGCTTCTTTTCAGGCATATCCCAACAATATCATTGAATGTAGAGTTGTCTTTATCATAAATACACAATTTCAGGTACTTGCCATGGTTTTCTTCTATAGTCAGCTGATATGCAGAATAATTCTGCTTGTATCCAAGGATATAATTTAAAAGATAATCTGCGATAAATATTTTAAAGATATTCTAAAAATATACATCTTTTTATTGCAAAACTAGTTTGTTTTCATTAATGAAGATTCGGTATGAAATGAAGTATGATTATTATAAAATTCACCATTTTTGCGACAGGTCCCGGTAATTTCATGCGTTGAAATATTACTGTTATCGGAATATTCCTTCAAGATCTTCAGTGTTTCGATAAAAGGTGCTTGAACATGCTCGAAAAACCGTATCAGTTCATTTTCCAATGTTCTAAAATGGAAAGGGAAAGACTTAACTGCAATCGGTCGACTGCATAGAAAATTATGAGGAAAAAAATATCCCAGTCAAACGATACATATAATAATTAAATTAAAGAAATAAATTCACGAAGATAACTATTTTTTTACACGGTACAAATTCAGTTACCTGTCGTAACCTTGAATCTCCCTGCACATCAAAATGAAGAATAAACTTGTACATCTACATGTAAAAACCCCTGAAGAAAAAAAAATACATTTTAACATAAACTGTACTTAAAAATGTGTAACTTGTATTCACTGTATCTTTTTCAACAGAATAGTCAAATTTTAGCATAAGATGTTTAAAAATCGTGTAAAATGTATTCATATCCTCGTTTTCAAACAATCGGACTTACCTGCAGTTAAGTATTTCATGGTTATGCTTCACGCTACTTCTTCCGATCATGCATCAAGGACCACAATTCGTGTGTTGTACGTTACTATGCGTTTATGCGTCGTTTTGTCAAAGAAAGCTATATGCATCGTATTCACCAAGCTTCCTGTAATACTCTTCTTCACTCACTAATTAATAAGCAACGTGCAACTCATAAAATAAGTAGACAAAACAGATTTTAAATCTGTTGTTCAAATGAATTATACTATCTTGTTGATAACAGACAGGAAGTGTTTTGATAAACAGATGCTTTAAAAAACTATTTTTATTCCTGGGTTCAAAGTTTCCTGGTTTAGAGGAGAAAAACATTGATTTCTGAGTTGAAGATATGACGCATGAAACTTGTTTAAGTTTAATATTTTATGAAGGACATTAATTCGTACGTCTTATGATACCACAAAAATGACGAAAATTATACCCCTAAGACAACAAGACCAGTGATTTCTTAGTATTTGATAAAAATGAAATATCTTGCTGCATAAACATTTTTTTGTTACATGTAACTTTGAAATTTACAATAGGATACAGTGCAGAAAATTACGATTACAATGAGTTGACAAAACTTAATTTCAGGAAGGCTGCATATGATTTTCAACAAACAGAATTTTTCATTTTATCACGTAAGATGAAAAACAATAATTCGGATGTTCTTACCGGAAGGACGTATGTGAGTAGTGTTCAAGCTGCACCGAATAACTATTGCTACATGTACTTTAAAATTAACAATTTACATTTGAAGCAAATAACTCGCCTTCCGGCAAAGGCGGATCCAGGGTCGACCCCCTCCTATATTTGTTTAGCTAACCTGAGCTGAAAGCTCAAGTGAGCTATTCTGATCACAATTTGTCTGTAGTCCATCTGTCTGTCTAGCTGTCTGTCCGTCTGTCTGTAAACTTTCCACATTTTCGACTTCTTCTCCATGCAGAACCACTGGACCAAATTCAACCAAACTTGCCAAGAAGCATTCTTTCATGGAGAACTACTGGTCCAATTTCAACCAGCAAAAAGCATTCTTGCATGGTTTAAGGGGATTCAAGTCACTTCAAATAAAGGGCCATGTCCTTATTCAAGGGGAGATTTTTGAGAAATAGTGAAAATTTAGTGGCATGTTTAAAAAATCTTCTTCTCAAGGTCCACTAGGCCAGGAAAGATAAAACTCATGAGGAGGCATCATTATGTAGTTTAGATTCAAGTTTGTTCAAATCATGACCCACGGGGGTAGGGTGGGGCTTCAGAGGACGACCAAAGGTTTAGATTGATTGATTGATTGCAAATTGTTTAACGTCCCTCTCGAGAATTTTTCACTCATATGGAGACGTCACCGTATGCCGGTGAAGGGCTTCAAATTTTGACCTTTACTCGGCACTCAGGGCCATTGAGCAGTGAGGGATCTTTATCGTGCCAACGCCTGCCGCTGACACGGGGCCTCGGTTTTTAAGGTCTTATCCGAAGGACCCGCAACTTTCACTTCAAAGTGCCGAGCGCATGGCGAAGGAACAGTTGCTACCCATTTTAACGACTAGGTCAGTCGCGGCCGAGATACGAACTCACGACCTCCCGATCACGAAGCGAGCGCTCTACCGACTGAGCTAACGTGAACGGTACCAAAGGTTTAGAAATATATAGGAATTTTTTTTTAAAATCTTCTTCTCAAGAACAACAAAACCATGATTGATCATATTTATACAGAGGCATTTTCAGGTAGTGTAGATACAAGTTTATTAAAATCATGACCCCCTGGGATCAGGATGAGGCCACAATGGACAACGAAGTTTTACATAGGAATGTATAGGAAAATTCTATAAAAATCTTCTCAAGAACTACAAAGCCATGATTTATCATATTTATAAGGAAGCATTCTCAGGTAGTGTAGATTCAATTTTGTTCAAATCATGACCCCCGGGGTCAGGATGGGACCAAAATGGTCGACCGAAGTTTTACATGGGAATATATAGGAAAAATCTTTAAAAATTTTCTTCTTAAGAACAACAAAGCCATTATTGGTCATATTTATATAGAGGCATCTTCAGGTAGTGTAGATTTCAGTTTGTTTAAATCATGACCCTCGGGAGTAGGATGGGGCCACAATAGAGTAATACGACAAAATTTTACATACTAGGAATATATAGGAAAAATCTTTAAAAATCTTCTCAAGAACAACAAAGCCATGATTGATCATATTTATAAGGAAGCATCCTCAGGTAGTGTAGATTTAAGTTTGTTCAAATCATGACCCCCGGGGATAGGCTGGGGACAAAATGAAAGTTCAAACTTATATGGAAAAAAGCCACAGTAAGTCGATTCAAGTTAATTCAAATCATCTTCCCTTCTGCGTGTAGGAGTAGGTTGGGAGCACTTGCAATTAAGCTTTACAAAACTAGATTAATTTTTGCTTTTTTTCCTAGCCAAAGTGCTCAGGTGAGCTATGTGGCCCATGTGCCTCTTGTTTAAAATTTTCTTTGAAATATCCTAAAATCAAGTTTAAAACACCTCATTCTGGGTTCTTCGTGTGGCTCGTACATGTACCTCGCACAATAACCTCGGACGTCAAAGGTGTTCTATCATCTTTCTGATTCAGTCATGTGATCTTATTTGAATTTCATCCATATGTTAAACTTTTGAGATCCGAGTTACTTTGTGACACACCCTACAGTTTTTTCTTTAAGGCTAATAACATATAGTTGTAATGAAAGCAATATACATGTACAAGAAGATTTAGACAAATAAAAATACCTTTTCGAACAACTTTAAGCAGAGTGAAATAGGAAATGGGTGACAAGGCAGTTTCCGGAGGAAAATGTATCGACCTGATGCCTATTCCTCCACTTATCTTATCCGAAGTTTGAATGGAGATTAGCGGAGTCAGCCGAGGATTGCCGACTGCTTCTGTCACACAATGAGCGGAGCTTTATCTCTTGCATTCGTTGGTGTTCAGCGGTGAACCTGAGTTGCATCACTGAAGATAGTACAAGATACATGTACAGTGAATCTCAAAAAAAATTAATAAAATGAAAGATATAACAAAACAATTATTTACTATGCTCTCGGCTAAGTTGCGTTTTGTCGACCCTCGAACCAAAAGTGTCTTCCTTCCGCCTAACGGTGTAACGTTGAATTTTGACCCGGGTTGAAAATTGACCCGGGGGTCATTTTTCAACGTTGAATAGTGAGACCAAAGGTGTTGAATTTAGATCCTAGTCCGTTGAAAACTGAGCCGGGTCGTGGAATTTTGATCATGAAACCGGTTCAAAATTCAACAGCATAAAAACACATATTTATGCCTTGGTTTTCATAACTGTGATTTAATCCATAATCGTCGGGAACAGGAGGAGGGGGTAGGGGTTGGGGATGCTTAACCCCCTTTTCTGCAAAGTTAGACATAATATAGACATCGAACAATGTCAAATTGTTTAGCCCCCCGCTTTCAACAGGCATGTTACAGTGTAGTCAAAGAGAGAAGAGTAAGTGGTAGTGCTTGAAAAAAAAAATTGGACCCCCCCCCCCCCCCCTAAGATTTTCGGCTTTGGACTACTAGTTTGGACAATCGACAAATTTTCTTTTTCTTGTCATTTTTTTTTTCAGATTTGAATTCTTTTTCCATCCCCCCTCTCACCCAGCACTTTCAATTTGCCTCCGACACCAATGTAATCAATGCACTCAATTCAGTAATTCAGGTATATTCTTAGAATAAAATATTCAAAAAAAATATCTTCGATTTCAAAGTTACTAATAGTCTTGCCGCTTAAAATCGCGGTATTTCATGTAATATTTATTTAAAATGAAGAACATTTGTATATGTAGATATGGAATATTAGAAAACATAGTTACACAATATGCAATTTAGTTCAGAAATTTATGTATTTTAATTGTTTTTTTTTTTTTGTTTTTGTTTTGTTTTGTTTTTTTTTTTTTTTTTTTGTTAAAAAGCTTTATTTATTTTAACGTTAAAAATTCGTAATATTAGTATTTGGGAAATGAAGAAAGTTAACGCATGAAGCACGTACGTTTTAATGCTTATTTAGTTATGCACAACATTAATAACTTATAATATCCAACTTGAAAAACGGATTTTTTCAAAATAAAAGGTTGAGTGATCTTTTTCGCATAGTTAATCCAACAGTTCAAGAACGTACCTCACAATTAATGCATATTTAATTTGTAAAGTAGAGGATGTAAAAGGGGGTGATTATTGGGGATTAGTACTATATATATTTGAAGAATGTGGTTTTTAGCTCACCTGAGCCGAAGGCTCAAGTGAGCTTTTCTGATCACATTTTGTCCGTCGTCCGTCCGTCTGTCCGTCTAGCTGTCCGTCTGTAAACTTTTCACATTTTCGACTTCTTCTCAAGAACCAGTGGGCTAATTTTGACCAAACTTAGTACAAAGCATTCTTATATAAAGGGAAATTTAAATTGTGAAAATGAAGGGCCAAGACTACTCACAAGGGGAGATAATCAAGAAAAGACAAAAATAGGGTGGGGTCATTAAAAAATCTTCTTCTCAAGAACCACTGGGCCAAAAAAGCTGAAACTTATGTGAAAGCATCTTGGGGTAGTGTAGATTCTAAATTGTAAAAATCATGACCCCCGGGGATAGGGCGGGGCCACAATGGGGAATCAAACTTTTACATAGAAATATATAGGCAAAAATCTTTAAAAATCTTCTTCTCAAGAACCACTTGGCCAGAAAAGCTGAAACTTATGTGGAAGCATCCTTAGGTAGTGCAGATTCTAAATTGTTAAAATCATGACCCCAGGGGATAGGGCAGGGCCACAATAGGGAATCAAAGTTTTACAAAGAAATATATAGGAAAAATCTTTGAAAATCTTCTTCTCAAGAACCACTAGGCCAAAAAAGCTGAAACTTATGTGGAAGCATTCTTAGGTACTGCAAATTCTAAATTGTAAAAATCATGACCCCCGGGGTTAGGGCGGGGCCACAATAGGGAATCAAACTTTTACATAGAAATATATAGAAAATTTTTTTTAAAAATCTTCTTCTCAAGAACCACTTGGCCAGAAAAGCTGAAACTTATGTGGAGGCATCCTGGGGTAGTGTAGATTCTAAATTGTAAAAGTCATGACCCCCGGGGGTTGGGCAGGGCCATAATGGGGAATCAAAGTTTTACATAGCAAAATATAGGAAAATTTTTTGAAAATCTTCTTCTCAAGAACCACTGGGCCAGAAAAGCTGAAACTTATGTGGAAGCATCCTGGGGTAGTGTAGATTCTAAATTGTTCAAATCATGATCCCCGGGGGTTGGGCGGGGCCACAATGGGGAATCAAACTTTTACATAGAAATATATAGGAAAAATCTTTTTCTCAAGAACCACTTGGCCAGAAAAGCTGAAACTTATGTGGAAGCATCCCAGGGTAGTGTAGATTCCAAATTGTTTAAGTCATGACCCCCGGGGGTTGGGCAGGGCCATAATTGGGGATCAAAGTTTTACATAGCAAAATATAGGAAAAATCTTTGAAAATCTTCTTCTCAAGAACCACTGAGCCAGAAAAGCTGAAACTTATGTGGAAGCATCCCGGGGTAGTGTAGATTCTAAATTGTTCAAATCATGATCCCCGGGGGTTGGGCGGGGCCACAATGGGGAATTAAAGTTTTACATAGAAATATATTGGAAAAATCTTCTTCTCAAGAACCACTGGGCCAGAAAAGCAGAAACTTATGTGGAAGCATCCTGGAATAGTGTAGATTCTAAATCGTTTTAATCATGTCAACCCCGGGGGTAGGGTGGGGCCACAATGGGGAATCAAAGTTTTACTATGTTGAATCAAAGCATCGTATGGTAGTGTAGATTTCAAATTGTTTAAATTATGATCAGTTGGGTAGGGTGGGGTCACAATATGTATAACAAGGGGGAAATCTGGTAAAGAATGGAATGTTCAAAGCTTCTCAGGTGAGGGATGTGGCCCATGGGCCTCTTGTTTTGTATTTGTGACTGGGTTGTTTTCTTCATTTTTGTAGTTTTTAATAAAAAAAATGTTTGCCTTAGATACACATCCCCGACTTTCAGCGTTATTTTATTTTTGTTATAAAGTAGCCAAAATATAACATTGATCACCCAAAAATCGGGGAAACACAGGATAGTTTGTGAGGAAGTTTTGAAGCGGTCCTTCCATCCAATTAGAGAAACATGTCTTGGTTTTCAACATTGGCTAGTTTCTCTTTCCCCTTTTTGCTTGCTTGTTTGTTTGTTTCGTTTCGTTTATTTATTTTGTTTATGGTTTTTTGTCACAATATTTCAAAGGGTTTTGACACCATACCCCCGCCTCCGAGAAAAATTGTAGGATTCTCTCTCTCTTTCTTCGAATTCGAAGAGGAATGCGCCTTTTAGTTGTTTAGATCAAAAGAAGTTGCAGGGACGGCGTTTTTTTAATTGTTGATATCAAAGATGGTGGAAAGTGTAGCTTCTAGTCCATTCCAGACTCTAACTCTAGTTCTCATTCTCATGGTTATGCTCCGAATACGATCGATTTTTAGGCCGAGGCAGGCTACTGACAGATACGTTTGTTACAAGGATTTCATCAACCTTGTTTAAAGGCAGCATTCTTTTACATTTTATGGTCGCTTTATTGATCTTTTTGAATTCTTTTCACAAATGTAAGCTATCATTGGATTCATTTTGACTGATGTGTTTCATTCATGATTTTAGGCTCTTAATTTTGTTAATTTTATATACTGAATTTGACTAGAAGAGATGTTCTGCATACCTGATCAATATTATACAGGGCTCACTTTCTAGACACCAGATTTCCAGGGTTTTTGTTTCATGCCTTATTCATAAGTTTTGTAGTTATTTATGGATGTGCATTTTAGAAAGTATTGTCAAAAAATAAAGTTGTCATGCTTGAAGATTAACAGAAATCCTGTACCGATCAAAATGTACATATATACACGGGATGATGGGTTTATTTCTATTATTTTTGAAAAGGGTAAATATTGAAACTGAAATATAAATATAGAGATACTGATAAATCCCGTAAAACAACTTCCCAGTTCAAAAATGTTCAAACTCTGAGGTTGGGTCAATATTCAACAGGGTCAATTTTCAACTTGTTGAGGTCATCGGGGATAAGAAAAAAATTCATGCTGTTGAAAAATGACCCCGTGTATCAATTCAACGACTTTTTGTCTCAAATTTCAACGGAGAAAATGCACCCCTGGTTCAATATTCAACGTTGAAAAATGAACACCGGGTCAATTTTCAACTGGGGTCAATATTCAACGTTACAATGGCCTCAGGCAAACACTTTGCTTCTTGGATTCGACAAAAAGCATGTTGCCCTCGAACTCAGACAATGATCGGAAGAATATTTTGTCGGCACATCCTCAAGCAAATTTTAACAATAAAGGTCTATATTTGAATTCAATTTCACAATTCATATTTACAAACAGTCTTAGAATTTTTCTGGAAATTATATAGAAGATATATATAAGTATAGTATAAAGAAGTTTCAAATAGACAACTTTTAAAACTGAATTTATTATCCTAGACTTATGAAATATTATATTTATATTATATCAACAAGCTTTTAAGGGCATCGCAAAGTGGAATCTCCCCTCTCAAAGAGCATACTTAGTATCTATAAATCAAAACATCATTCCACATCGATCACGATGCAAATAACATTGATTCCCTTTCTCACAGTATTAACACACCCACAAACGAACACGCACAAATGTGTTACTATAGAAAGTTTTCAAATGACATATTTTCTCTCTGGGTCATTTCCCTAGGTCGCCATTTTGATGGACAACCTGATAATTTTTTCTCTTTGTCTTACCAAATTTGAGAGGGTACGTGTAGCGGATATATTTGGGAAAAAAATCTTCATGTTATAAAATTTATGAAATGAAGGAATTGTTTTTCTGAAAAAAAAAATTTTTTTTAGTATAATTTGAATTTTTATAATTTAAAGTTTGTTATATAATGCAGGAAAATGAGCATGTTGACCCCCCAATATGACAGCCAATGGGAAACAACTCTTTTTCATTTGGGCCTTCTGAAAACTATTTATATCCTTTATATCTCCGTTGCGAGGGGATAAAAAAAAATTTAAAAATCATTTCATATCCCCATTCAGTAATGGATATAGCTTGGTCAATCAGTGACAATCTCGTAAAAATTGCATACTAGAATGATGTGACAGTGAATTTTACATATTGCGGTCATAACTATTTGACTAATACTTTTGAAATTCAGGAAGCTAGAAAAATAAAGAGGTCTAATATAACATATTTCATTTATCTATTTATTGTAAATTATGCAGATCAAAGATGAAAGAAATCAACGATTCTTGAAATCCAATACGAATGCTTCAGAGGACAAATGAATCGTTTATCATTCAACTCGTTCCACATTCTCTCTATTTCTTTGGGGTAATAATGATGCCCTGTAATTTTGTTTTTGAAGTGTGTCCCACACGGCCCTTGGTCTCTGTAACCACAACTGAAGCCAGGGTGCCCCTCGGCTTCAGCATCAATGTATCTCCTACAGATTCCATTTATAAAAACATCCTCCAAGAAAATATATTTCACACTTTTTGTAGCAAAGTAAAGTTTCGACAGAATATCACCGGTGATGACGTAAGCTGGCCCGCTGATGTAATCTGGAAATGTGTCAGCACTATACTGATCACGTGACAAGTACCATTTTGAAAATGGAAACCTGAAAGGAGATGTATCTTTCACTTTACATCCAATAATGGAATTAGTTCGTTGCCTTAGTTGGAGATCGTCTATCAGATTTCTGATATTTAGGAACATATCGTCGTCTATTTTCAGATAATACTTCGCATGATTACAATTGTTATGGATCCACTCAATTATGCTTATCGACTTTTTTGCCAACATTTCATATTTGTCCTCAATTTTAACTTCAATGATGTCATTATAAATTTCCTTTTCCTTAGACAAAACGTCATTAATGCGTCTATCTTCGGATATTCCAACAAAGAAAGCCAGTTTAAGGCCTGGGTCCGATTTAGCCACACTTCCCCAGGAATATCTAATTGCAAATCGTTGTTCAAAATTGGCAGCATGACTAGGAACGGCTATAAAAAGAAATAATGCAGATTCGTTTCTACAATTGATTGGTGACCTAGAAACCGAATGACGAGCTTTTGTTTCAAGAAAGACGTCAACATTATAAACGTCTTCTGGTACCTGTACATTCGTTTGAAATAATTTCGGTATAGTTAGGATGCTTGTTAATATTAATCCACTGTAAATGAATACTCGCACACACACTGGCCATCTCCGAATTTTTCTTTTAAGAGGAACTGGGAGTTGATCCATGAGCTGAAATGAAAAACAATACAAGAGTAATTTACTTTAAAATTATTAAATTCTTCAATTCGAATCTTTAAATCATGATGGTAGCCTACACCTGCGGCTTTGAGATTTCTTTTTATTAATTTGTGGCCACGAAATGAAAATTCGTGGGAACGAAATAAAATTCGTGGCCACGAAATAAATTCGTGGGAACGGAATAAAATTCGTGGCAACGGAATAAAATTCGTGGCCAGGAAATAAAAATTCGTGGCCACGAAATAAAATTCGTCGCGGGTTCAAATCCCACTGTGGGACGTGGAGACCGGTCCTTCGGATGAGACCGTATAAACCGAGGTCCCGTGTCGCAGTAGGTGCTGGCACGAAAAAGATCCCTCCCTGCTCAATTGCCCTGAGTGCCGAGCATAGGACAAAATTTGCAGCTCTCCACCGGGACGTTAAACAATATACAATAAGACGGTAATCAATCAATCACACAATGAAATCGAAAAATTAGACAGTTATTCTTTAAATCGATAAAGCACTTGACTTCGATTCGCAGTTCATGTATATATATATATATATATATATATATATATATATATATATATATATATATATATATATATATATATATATATATATATATATGTATAAATATGCATGATTTATTTTCAATTTTAAAAAATGTTTAAGTCCGACTTTTAAATAAATTTTACAGTAATCATAATTCCATTGTATTCTTAATTATGTATCCTACCTAAATTCGCTACCATCAGGGTCTAAAGCATTCAGTATCAGTCGTACATCCTCCTCATGAACTCTTAAACCATTCTCCTGACACTTATAAATCATCAACCTATATCCGTGAAGATTTCCGTAGGTATTTTAAAAGCTCTCTGTTAGTAAACTGAACAACATCAGCAATATCATTGTAAACTTTCCTTCTAAATAAGCTCAGTCTATTCAAAATTCGTCTTAACTGTCGTTCACTAACACTGTATCCATGTTGTCCCAAACTTACACAAATATCCCGTTGTGTCAGTCCGATTGAATGATAATAATGTATAAATTCGTTCATCTTGAATGACAAAAGAGAGAAGAAGCTAAACATGACATTATACAGCAAGTATTTATTTCGTGGCCACGAATTTTATTTCGTTCCCACAAATTTTATTTCGTTACCATGAATTTTATTTCGTGGCCATGAATTTTTTTTTTCGTGGCCACGGATTAATAAAAAAAATTCTCATACCATGTCCTATATCAGCCACCGTAAAGCTGAAATTTTTACGGGGCCAAAAAAAATTAGATAAAGAGGCATATTGGCCAAAATGCTCACCTGAGCTAATTGGGAATAAATTTATGGTATGTTGATCTTGTAACATTATACAATTATAGCTATATTTCAAGGTCAATGCGATGATTCAGAATCTAATGGAGTAAAAGATTTATCGAGCCTAAAGGGTTAGGTAAACATTGTTTTTCGATGGTGGAAATCGTCGTACTGACAGAAAAAATCAGCAGTATTTTATAAATATTGCATGTAGTTGAGTGTAACATTGAAAATTTTCACCCCAAGAAAACCATTGTCAACCAAGGCGCACTCAACTACATGCAATATTTATTATATTATACTGAATGTTCTATACAAATACATATAATAGTGAAACGTGCGCAGTTATTCTGCGCAGTTGCTATTTTTTGGAATATCACCCGTTGTCAAGAAATGTTGACTGTTGCTATTACGCTGGAGGGCTTGGCTTCATTAATCAGCGGGTAATGGTGTTTTTTAACAAATGTTTTTCGATCAATCAGATTCAACTATTTTACATGAAAGTATTATATTTTATATTATTATATCCTCCGCTCGAAAAGCGGGAGGGTATATAGTGATCGGGATGTCCGTCCGTCCGTCTGTTACGCTTTGGGGTATCCATCTCTTATCCGCAAACTCCTCTTATATATAAAAAGATGTGTTTGTGAAACATCTATGCCCCTGTATGGCAACATAGCGAAGATTAAACTTTTCTTAAATGCAATTTAAAAATATTGGCACCCAAAGTAGGGTCTCCTCACAAGAAATAAAATTGCAAAATAGGAAAGCCCTAGCACCACTTGTTCAAAAGTAATGGCTAAGGATAAGTCTTTGAAAGGTAGGTCAAACTCAAAGGTCAAAGTTGATGGTTTCTAAAAAAGGTTTAATGTAACAAGGATTACGTGAAGTATGAAAACCCTAGCCCTTACTGTTCAAAAGTTATGGCAAAGGTTAAAGTATTTTTTCATAAGTACGGAAATCTCCAAGTTCAAGGTCAAAAGGTCAAAGTTTCTAGTATCCAATGAAAGGCATGCCAAAAAAAAAACATATGTGAAGTATGACAGTACTAGTATCTACCGTTTAAAAGTTATGGCCAAAGTAAAAATTTGGCATTTTGTGTAAAACTGGACAAACTCCAAGGTAAACCCAAAGTAAGTGGTTTCACAAGGAATACACATATCAAATATGAAAGTCATAGCTCCATTAAATGAAAAGTTATGGTCAAGGTTAAAGTTTTTCGGACAAACAGACCTTCAGATAGACAGACAGACATACAGACGGACACGATAAAACTATACTAGTCAAAATTTCTAAGTCCCCGGGCAAGTTTTTGCTTTACACAGCTCTTATATTGAATTATTTTAACAGTATAATTTAATAAGTTTTCGGGATGAAAAAGTAGCAATACAATTTTTTCTCACTAAATTTATTTTATTGAAGCACTTTATCACAGTATGCAGAAATGATAAGGCACTCTACAATTAAAAATTCACAACGTTAGATACTGCAATATCCTCCATTCAAACTAATTCACAGAAAGAGTTTACACTATTTAAGAAAAATTCTTTTTATTGAATGTTTTTCCATGTGGAGACTAGGTCGTTCTGTAGTTCCGCTAGATTCTGCTGCTGGAAAAGCTGTCTCACACACCCGTCTATCTTCTTCCATACATGTAAGTTAGGGTTGATATTAGGATGACAAGGGGGCCTACCGAAGGTGCCTGTGTCTTGCTAACAAAAGCTAAATAATGTCTTATTACATGTGTACCCCACTCCTCTTGTTTGACATTGAGGAGGGCACTTCCGGTTCCGGTTCCATTTATTTTTCCGGATAAACTCTAGGATGATTTTGTTGTGTTTGTTGAAAATCTAGCGATTTCTAATGATTAAAAGGAATTCAGGTATGCTTTGTAGGTTTTTCGGGCGATAATTATAAAGGTTTTAAGTAAAAAAAAAAGTCATACAGTGAAAGAAAACAGAACTCTCGTCAACTACGACCAGCTTGGGCCATTTCAGCTTCACTTTCACATTGTTGTGTGGACATACACCGCATTTTAATCAAACTTTTTTCTGTTTTTCTTTATCAATTAAAGATGGAGAACACATGGAAGTAAAAAATATGAAGAATACACCCGAAAAACATATGGAACTCGAACATCATGCTTTTTAACAACAAGAGGCCCAGGGGCCACATCGCTCACCTGAGTAAAAGACCTTTACTTGCAAGAATTATGCATGTAGATGTTAGAGTATGGACTTCCTCTTTCTATTCATTTACTGTAATTGGGCTTGATCTAAGCATAAAATTGCTAAGAATGGTTTTCTTTTCAAGCAGTGCTTAATGCCTATCTCATTAACAATTTAGTCATAAAGAGGTCAATCTCAGTATTTCTGCAGAATATAGCACTTGAACTATCAACTCTGAAGTGTAATATGCTTTTATTGAATAAAAACATATCTTTCCTTTTAGGGGGTGTAACATTAGTTATGATACTTATAATAAAAACAGAAAATGTGAATAAGATTTAACATTTATTTCTTTACAAAACTGAACAAATTTGTTGAAAAATTATCTGACAACATTAGTAGATAATATAATAAAAACTAAAAAGCATTAATAAAAATCAACTATCTAAATTTTCTAAGACTTCAATATAAATGTATGCACAAAGTATCAAATATGCATTATATAGCAACAATTTTGTGACAGAAATGCAAAACTTCTTGACATTACATCTAAACATAGATGCTTTGTAAACATATCAAACATTTGTTTAGAGGAAAGTTGAATACATCAAAGTCATTCATTTGAAAGATATGAAATACACTGTATATTCATTTTTAAGTTCACTTAATAGTAAATCTTTCCTATAAATAACGAAAGCGAAAATTTGAAAGATTGCAACTGAAGTGAATAATTATATGATGATCAACAGACTCTGACTTTGAATATCAACTACTATATTAAAAGAATGTTTCATAAGTAACATTTAATTAGTCTAAGAGTACCTGCAGGAATCAGATTACCTAAACTTGATGGTAATATTCCAAAATGGAATGATTAAGACTGTTTTTGCAATCAATAATTTTGAATTTAAAGACCAGTCATGAGAAATTATAGTGATCCACCTTTTCCTCTCTTTTATAAGAAAAATTGTAGTGTTATAAAGAGGTAGGTTTACCTCCCTTTACGGGCTGGCCATTGACCCCCTCTTTTCATACTTACCTGGGTATAAGTGTTTAATATATAGTCGATTCTCATTAGATTATAATATAATGGTGGTCACATATTAAATATCTCAATGCTGGAGAAAATAAAACATCAATTAATATGGAGTTAACTGAAATCAGCAATATACTAGTAACTTATAATGAGTTGTCAGTTTCTCTCTGATTATGCAGGTTACTTCCCTTTTCTACACAGGTAACATAAGCTAGTAAAAGTAAATGTTTAAAGCAATTTCTGAATGTTTTGAAATACAAAAATACAATAAACTTAACATTTTAAGTCAAAAAAATCAAAAAGATAAATAATCAAGTCAAAATATTTCAACACAAAGTTTGATATATTCCATGAACATTATTTAAAAACAAAATGAATCAAATGATATATATAAAATCTCTGAGCTGTGCTTTCAAAATGTATCAAATTCTAATTCAGCTACAAATCTAAATAAAATAAAAATAAATAAGTATGCTGGATGGTCGTC